ACTTTAGGGAAATTGCTTTAACATTTCTAGGCCTTGGTTTCCTTATCTGTAAAGTGAGAATAATATCTACTTCATAGGGTGGTATGACGGTCAAGTGACAATATGAATCTGGATATAGACCCCTAATACATGTTCACTCCCTTCTTCCATTTTCTACCAGTTTTCTACACAAATCCTTTACTATGGCCAAACTGGATGAAATCACACTGGGCTTGTTTTCTTATCTGTTACGTGAAGGGTTTTGATTTAACTAAATTTCTCAGGCTCCTCCCAGCCTGACATTCCAATAGACAGTGTATCATAGTGGTTAAGAGCTCATTTTTGGACTCAGAACTGGGTTCTGATAAAATTAGATTTTTATCAGTTTAACTTGTTGGTGACCATGGAAAAATGAACCTCACAAAGCCTATTCCTTGTGGATAAAATGGGAATATAATATCTATCTCCTGGGATTGTTGTGTTATGTGAGATAATGATTATAAAATGCTCAGTAAACAGCCTGGCACCTAGCGCATTCTACTCTATCAGAAGTCTTCCCCAATCCTGTTGAATTCTTAGTAAATCTTTTCTGTTGAATTTAGTATCCCTTTGAACTCTGATGCTATTTTTATGCCATTAATATGATTTAAAAAATAAGTTTTACTGTCTTTTCCTATCAATTAACTTCACATGCATCTATGTGATCCCTCATCAAGAATGGAACAAATCATTTTATTGTCTCTTTTCACAGATGGTCTTACCAGATTTTTCTTAAAAGCCTAAGCTCAGCAAATGACTGACTGAAGCTTTCTATTTCCTCTTCCCTTCCCAGGTCAATGGGATGCTACCTACAGAAATCCAAATCCTCCAGGAGAAACTACTACGCTAAACACAAGAGGAACCCCAGAGTCCAAATCCATGAGAATATCTGTTACACAACTTTCCCTACCCAGTTTAGCAAAACACCTGTTTCGAGTGACAATACATCACAAAAGGCCACCCCCAAGACCCTGGTGTGCATCTGACTCAATACAGAAAAGGGGTCTGGATATGGGTGGAGACTGAGGCCCCAGACCACTCCAAGTTCTATCCAGAAGAGGCGGCACCAAATGGTAACCAGTTCTTACAATGATCTTTCCCATTCCCACCAGAATCGCTAGACTTTTTCCAGTGATTCCATAAGGAGCCAGTTTTGCCCTGAAGGATTAAGAATCCAGATATGATTAGCTGTCCTTTTGGTTTTGAAAGAATGATTACTAATCCTATGGGCACAGGGCAATGGTAATAACACCTTATGCTGGTATAGCACACTCCCTCAGCACCACCCTGGAGGTTTACCAATTATCCCACCTTATCATTACCTTTGATCTCATCAGTTGGGCAAGACAGGTACTTTCCCCATCACTGCCCACCTTTTACAGGGAGCTGAAGTGATTTGCCCAAGGTCCCACAACTGGGGTTTCTGACTCAATTTCCTCAACTAGAATGGACTGTAATGTCCACTACTCTTTCCATCAAAACAGAGTTTCCAAAATGACCATCGTTCTTGTACCGTCTGTATAACTTTGGCCTTCATCTACCTACCATATGCTCTATCAATGTCTTTATTGACATAGACTCTTGAGTACTTTTATTTAGAAAGGAATATTTTAATCACTGTCATAAAATGGAAGACCAGAATCACTTGCCATAAATAGAAAGTGACCTTAAAAATAAATACAATCAGGGGCGCCTGGGTGGCACAGTCGGTTAAGCGTCTGACTTCAGCCAGGTCACGATCTGGCGGTCCGTGAGTTCGAGCCCCGCGTCAGGCTCTGGGCTGATGGCTCGGAGCCTGGAGCCTGTTTCCGATTCTGTGTCTCCCTCTCTCTCTGCCCCTCCCCCGTTCATGCTCTGTCTCTCTCTGTCCCAAAAATAAATAAACGTTGAAAAATAAATAAATAAATAAATAAATAAATACAATCAGGGCTACCTGAGTGGCTCAGTCAGTTGAGCATCTGACTCTTAACTTTGGCTCAGGTCATGGTCTCACAGTTCGTGAGATCAAACCCTGTATTGGGCTCTGTGCTGTGGGCACAGAGCCTGCTTGGGATTCTCTCTCTCTCTCTCTCTCTCCTCCTATCTCTGCCCCTCCCCTGCTCATGCTCTCTCTTTCTCTCTCTCTCACAAATATAATTAAATAAATAAATAAATACAAAATGATTCTCAAATCCTAGTTAGATTTCCCTCCCCTGTCTGAGTCTCAGAACCTGTGTTTCCCTTGCCCTCTGTTAAAAAAAAAAAAAGGGGCAGGTGGGCAGGGCGCCTGGGTGGTTCAGTCAGTTGAGCGTCCGGCTTTGGCCCAGGTCATGATCTCACGGGCTCTGTGCTGACAGCTCAGAGCCTGGAACCTGTTTCAGATTCTGTGTCTCCCTCTCTCTCTGCTCCTCCCCTGCTCATGTTCTGTCTCTCTCGCTCTCTCAAAGATAAATCAACATTAAAAACAAAAAGATTAACAACTGTTAGAGAGGCACTAAACACTAGGACCAAAATGAAAGCTTCTGTTTGATGCAATCAAATTAAATTGAAAGGGAGTTGAAAGGTGAATAATTTTCTCATTTCTGACTCACTATTATTTAAATTTTTTTAACGTTTATTTATTTTTGAGACAGAGAGAGACAGAGCATGAACGGGGGAGGGGCAGAGAGAGAGGGAGACACAGAATCGGAAGCAGGCTCCAGGCTCCGAGCCGTCAGCCCAGAGCCCGACACTGGGCTCGAACTCACGGACCACGAGATCGTGACCTGAGCTGAAGTCGGACGCCCAACCAACTGAGCCACCCAGGCGCCCCATCTGACTCACCCTTATTTAAAGCAGTGTCTACATGCCTCCTAAAATGTTCTCAAATACCAACAGTGATGCCTGACCCCCACTTTGGGGGAATTGCACCACACTATAATGAGTGCCTGGTTTTTAAATCTGTTGAGAAAAGAAGCTAAAACCACAACATGAGAGAGGTTCCATCTGCACAGAGAAAACTGACCTCAGGTTTTTGTAAGTATGTTTCTCCTCAAGAGATATAAAAGAATTTTGTAAAAATTTTAATATAATAAGTGAAGCTTGAGAACGCTAGAGACTAGGGCATTTCTTTCCCAGAGAACTTTAAGAACAGGCCAAAGATATGGAGTGGAATACACTCTTCAGAGAGATAGGACCTCAGGGGTCATTTAAGGCAGGATCTCTTCCTCATCATTCCATAAACGCATGTACAAACTCGGATGCATGGGTATGCGTGTGCATGGAGGCACACACACCCCCCACTCATAGTCTCTTAGGCCCCACTCCCCCCAGGTGGCCATCCATCCTCCGCTTGATCGTGCTTGGCCATGGGGCCTCAGCAGACAGCTCCCTCCACTGCTGACATCAGTCCTGTAGTTGAATGAATGGCTTGTTCGCAGACTGTGCCGTGCAGGTTGTCTTCCCACAAAACCTTACCCATTTACCTAGGCCGTCTGTCAGCAGGGCAGAGGCAGGGTATGCTCCGTCCCCCTTGGAATTTCATTCTAGAGCTGTGCAGTCCCACAGAACGTTTTGTGCTGATGGAAATGTTCTGTAATGTTTACTGTCTGATACGGCAGCCAGGGGACACATGTGACCTTTGCGCATTTGATATGTAGCTAGTGGGAATGAGGAGTTGGGGTGTTCATTTTACACAAATTTTTGAAATGTTTTGTTTTTGAGAGAGAGAGACAAAGAGAGAGAGCAAGCAGGGGAGAGGCAGAGAGAGAGAGGGAGACACAGAATCTGAAGCAGGCTGCAGGCTCTCAGCTGTCAGCACAGAGCCCAACCCAGGGCTTCAGATTAGTGACCCATGAGATCATGGCCTGAGCCAAAGTCAGTTGCTTAACCGACTGAGCCACCCAGGTGCCCCAGCATTTTACTTAATTCTAGTCACATTACAATAGCCACATGTGGTTGGTGGCTACTTATTGCAGAGCACAGCTCTAGAGTGTTTGATGAAGATAGCTTCTGGATGAGTAGCACTCCCAGATGAGAGAAAACAAACGTGCCCCCACTCCTTTTATCCCGCTTTGTGCCATCAGCCATTATCAGTCCATGCCCCTGCTCTTCAAAAGGGAAAGAATTTGGATATTATTCTTCAAAATATCCCATTCTTCACCCCATTCTCCCCATATTCCCCCTCTTTCTCTACATACCAAGGCTTCCCAGGGGGAGCCAGATTTTTTTTTTTTTTTTTTTTTTTTTGCAGAGAGACAAAACTGAGAAGATGTGAAACTTACTGCCAAGAAGTTGCAAGCGAACATGCCCCAGGGGTGTGTATAAAGGGACAGAGTATGAAAGATGGCATTGCCACTCTGCTGCTTTGCAAAAAATACACATGCAATTAAGGAAGTAATGTCTATTTCCTTAGATTAAGGAATTACTGTATATGTTATGTAAAACATATATTTGTGTAATATGTTATGTAAAAGTTATGTAAAAGTCCCTTATTTTTGGAGATACCTGTTGGGACTTAAAAGTGACATGCCATGATGTACTATCAGTGTGTGTGTGGGCACAATATGAGTGTGTGAGTGTCCACACTAATATAGATACATATCTACATACATATGTAGATATACACCCAGGTAGATGAATATATAGATTAGACAGATTGGGTAGATAGTTCCATAAACATATAGATAAATTAAAAAGATGGCAGCTAGATACATACATAGTTACATACATAAAGAGATCATACAGATAGATTGGAAGATAGGAAGATAAAAGACAGCTAGCTAGCTAGCTAGATATAGAGCAAATTATATCATTGTTAAAAGTAGGGGTGGGAGTATGAATGTTCATGGGAAAAACACAAACAGGAAGTACTGCTAATTAAAAAAATGCTTTTATTCCTGCCAACTAGAGGCCATTTAAGGCCAGCGTGAGTGGGCACGGCTTTCCCAGCCCCTCCAAACAGGTGCCGCATAGAAGGGGCAGTGAGACAGGACCAGACCGGGTCCACAGATGAGGAGAAAGAGTCACAGGAAGGAAGAGGAACCAGTAATCTGCTTGGGCAGGATGATATTAGATCCTCCCCACCCCATCTCCTTTCCACTCTGGCCTTCCTCCCTCATTCCAGGCCTTGCAGGGGTGGGGAGCTGGACCACAGCAAGGCCGCAGGGGCACCAACACTGGCCACGGAGGCAGTGGAAGGAAGGGTAAGGATGGCAAAGCACTACTGAATCCAGGGAGCTCAGCTGCAGGAGGCAGGTGGCCTGCAGAGACAAAGAGAGGGTGAGTTTGGGTTTGTTGCTGTCACCCCACCCCTCAAAGTCACTGGTGGGGAGAGGGACAGATATCAGTTCTCTACCCTGGATATATACACTCACATCCCAATCCAACCCCCTTTTCCTTCTACATCTGTCAGTGGAAATATAGACTCAGCGGGTGTTAGCATCTAACCTTGTAGGCCATGGAAGGAATGAAGAAAGCTGTATCAATGTTCCCTTGGTGACCCCAACTGGAGATCCATGCCCTCTTGCGGGTCAAGGAGTAAGCCTTCCCCACACCCTGCAGGAGTGAGGCCTGGCCTGTGGATTCTTACCCCAGCAGGGCTTGAGAGAGGCTTGGGGCGGGTTGTCACTCAGACACCTGTCCGGTGCTGTCCCCCAGCACAGCTGATAGCAGGAGGGACCCAAGGATTCCAGGGCAGGCAGGACTGCTGAAGACACACTCCCAGGGGGCTGCCACGAAAAGTAAGAGGAGACCCTCAGTTGTCAGTGATGCCTCCTATTTAGCAGAACTGGGGCCCCAAGGCTGTCCCCATGCCTCCAACTGTCTCCTGCACAACTCTAGAGGGCACCATTCACATAGTAGACTATGAGCATGGTGCTTTCTGAAATGTGAATTGTAGGAACCAGGAGCAGTCAGGAATTGGGAGAAGCAGTGAGCCCTTGTCTTCCCAGTTCACAAACTCCCCTCTCTTCCTGGATACCTGTGCAGAGATGATCCCAGGGGAGGCATTGGGCACAGTTGGTACATGGGAAGCACCTACAAGGTGAGAGTAGATCCACTCAGAAGGAGGAATATGTTTGGGGAGCGGGGAATAGCGGGGAGGTTCTAAGAAAGATGGCAACTTCTGGCAGGGATGGGAGGAGATGGATGCTATAACCCTAAACTGCCTTCCTCCCCAAGGCAGGCCCTTGGGAGACTGGGGAAGAAGGATTAAATGTCAGGGATGGTAAACGGGGCAGTGCAGACCTAAAGAGCAGAGACTCTGAATGCTGAGCATCTAACACAGAATCTGGCACATGGAAGATGCCAGGTAAATGTTTAGTGGATGGATGGATGGATGGATGGATGGATGGATAGTGGAGGGACAGACAGGTGGGTGGGTGGGTGGATGGATAGGTGAGCGGATGGATGCATGGATAGATCCATGCACGCATGGATGCATGGAAGGATGGGTGGGTAGATGAGTGGATGGAAGGATGGATGTGCAGGAAAATTACCTGGAATCTGCATTTCCCACTTGAGCTTCTCTTGTCGGCGCCATTTGGCTCTTCGGTTGGAAAACCAGACCTGAAGGAGAGCAGAACGGTGTAGCTGGCTGTGCCCTTCGCTACCTGGCACCTACTGCTCTCATCACATGTTTCTGGTCTGGACCCAGAGCACAGACCCTTCCTCAGACCTGATGTCCCTCCTCCCTGCTCTGGCCTTTGTTCGCTGTCCCCCTCCTCACTTCAAAGGCTTGGAGTGGGGAAGAGAAGAGAGGAATCGGCAGAAGGAGAACAAGGAGGGTCTTGTGTCTGACTTTTTTCTACAAACGAATCTCTTTCCACCTTTTCCCCGCCATCTGCCCCTCACCAGAACCCAAAACCACCTCAGCACAGTCTTTGTTCTTGAGTTTTGTGCATCTTGTGTGGCAGAGTTCACTCACCCTCACCGTGTCCTCAGGCAGAGAGGTGGCAGCGGCCAGCTTTCCACGGGCCACCGAGTCAGGATACTGCCCACGCTGGAACTCTGCAGAGATCGAAGCTCAAGTAATAAGGTCACAGGGAGAGGAGCAAGGCATGGATCTCCCCCTCAGGCCCCATTCCCACCTGCTATGACTCTAAACTACCCTCCTCCTTAAGGTAAGGCCACCCACAGCCTCCGATTCTCAGCCTTTGCCCACAGGCCACAGGGCCGTTGCCTGTGTCACACCAAGCGCCCTTTCACCTGCTGTCTGCCCCAGCCCTGGCACCTTTCTCCAGAGCCTCGGCTTGGCCTGGGGAGAAGATGGTCCGATTCCGGTGGCCAGTCCCTGGGTGGGGACCCCGAGGAACCTCACAGCCACTGCGGGGAGTGTGAGGAACTGGAGTCAAAACATCTGTAAAGGGGGACAGTGGCTTGTAGCAGTTTGTGATGCTTCTTCTCATCAGATGGGGTTCCCAAGGCCCTGGGGCTATGGATAAGGGACAACATGGATATAAGAGCAGAGCCATGCTCATAGGGCATTCACAGTTTCTTGGAGGTTACTAAAGGGGCACTTAGTGGGAGGCACTCCCAATGCCATGGTTGAGTGCACGCTTCGTGTTTGGGGAAACAGCAGCAAGGTTGGCCCAGGTTTGCATGATTCCACAGAATGTGAAGAGCACTCTGAGAGGCTGTGCATGAGGCATAGGGAGGGTGTGGGAGGTCCAGCCCTGCCTCTTCCTTGGCAGATCCTGTGAACCTAGGGGCCAGAGGACCTGAATTCTGTCACAGGACCTGCCAACAACTAGCTGGTAACCTTGGGTAGGCCATTCCTCTTCTCTAAGCTTCAGTTCTTTTCTGCCAGGAGAGAGCAATACTCCTTGCCAGGCCCTCCTTATTGTCTTGTTGTCAGTGAGGGTGATCCAAGAAAGAACAAGAAAGGGCTTTGCCAACTGTAAGATGCTTATGTTTGCTCTGATCATCCCTGTAAAATGCTTACGTTTGCAGCTCCAAGACCCACCTGGTGACCTGAGCTGTGCCCAGGGCAGTCGGTGGTCCTCCTGTAGTGCCCGCAGGACTCGGTTGATGGAAGAGACCTGGGGGTGTCAGGGTGTTGAGAGGGGAGGTGGTGCACAGACCCAGGGTCATATCCTGAGGATGTTTCCCCAGTAGCCTTTCTCTCCTCCGTCCTGGCCCACACATCTTTCCCAGGGAAGCCTCCTTTCTTCTCTCCTATCTCGCCACTCCCACTTTACAGAAGGGGGCCCAGCAACCCTGCCCTGCCAGGCTGGAATGGCCTCATTGCCAAGTAAGAAGGGATCTTCTTCCCAGACGGCCTGTTCACCAGCCTTGGTGCAGGGAGGGGAGGGCACTTACACTGGGAGTCTTGTCCTGGGTGCAAAGCCCTTCAGCACAGAGCTGGCGTTGGATCTCCCAGGCAAAGAGGGCAGGGCGCTCACCCTTCAGCTGGGCAATTCGAGCCACCACAGAGGGTGTGGCCAGTCGGGGTTTGCTTCCCCCAATCCCCTTGGGCTCCAAGACACCTGTGCGGTAGTAACGCGCTAGGATCTTGCTCACACAGCCATTAGATACCTGGGTCAGATAAGAAGCAAGGACAGGTAAGGCATGATGGGCAGAGGGTGAGTGTCCCTAGGGCAGCAGGAGGCTCCAAGGCAAAGTGAGACTTACTGGACCAGGCTGCAGAGTTAAGAATTCAGCCTCACCTTTGGGAGCCTGAAGCTCCCCATCCCAGGCCCCAAGAGGGTCTTCTAGGAAGTAGCCCAAGCCTCGAAAGCCCTCAGAGTCTGCAACAGCCTCAGACTTGCCTTAAGAGGGTGCTTTGTTCCTGCTTCTTGTCCCCATCACCTGGTAAAGCATACTACCTTAAGGCTCCGTGAGATGTCGCAGGGCCGCATCCCGCTGACTGCCAGCCGAACAATCTGCTGCCGGGTGTCCAGGGGCAGGGGCCGGCCGTTCACAAAAAGCCCCCCCAGCTGATTCACACTGCTGGTCCCTGGACATGAGAAGGAGGCATCCACACATCTCCCCTCTCCCCGGCCCACCTGTGGCAAGGAGGACCCTCTTGGGGAGGGTTACTCAGGCCCCTCAAGTCTGGTTTCCCACCACACAGAAAGTCCTCTCCCCAGGGGACTGCTCCCCTTCTGCTCCCAGGGTCCCCCAGCTCTCACTTTCTTTGGGAGGTGGCTCATAGTTGAGTCTTTGCTTTGGGGCCATTTGCACTGACCCCACTGATCTAAGGGAAGCAGGGTGTGACTGAACCAAACTCCCCCAGAACACTGGCCAAGGGCATGGAAACCATGTGGATGAAAGCAGGGCCCTGAGATATACCTTCCCTCCTTGCACCAACCTGTTCTTCCCACTTCTCCCAGGTGTCTTACCATCCTGTGGCATGTTCCACGCTGACACTTGTCACAGAAGGGCAGGAACTGGGAAGACTGGGGCAAGGGGTTCCTCCTGGGAGCTCCTTCTTTGGTCTTGGAGCTCGGTCTACAATGATTGAGGTTATTTGGGTGAAATCTCTTGCTCAGAACCGTCTTGGGTTCTAGTGTTTTGTGATAGAGGGCCACGTTTCTAAAAGTTGCCAGAAGGTTGGCTGAGAAAATCCAAATTCTCTTTACTTATGCCCTTCTGTGATGAACTAATACATCACAGGGCCAGCAGAGGACTGGATCTTTCTGGATGACCTGATAAGGGCCTGGAGGGTGAGAGGGTTCTCACTTCTCACACATTCATTATAAGAATTCAGGGAGGTGGAGAAGGATTATGCTCCCAAACGCTCATGCCTTTCCCTTTTGCAAATGGACACCTGTTGTCTCAGAGACAAAAAGCCCTCAAAAGCCTTCTCAGCACTTGGGCCTCCTAAGTTCAGTCTCAATAGGGTCAAAACCCAAACCTTAGAATATTCTGCCTAGCCAGAAGAGGACAATCAGTGACCAAAGATCCCAATTGCCTTGGTCTGAGGTTAGAGACCAGGTTCAAGACTCTGCCTTCACTATCAGGAAGCTATTAAGGTTAGTTTCTCCAAACCACCAACCAGAAAGCTTTCCTCAGAAAACTTCCCCTGGGAGGTCTTGCTCCTGACTCTTTTTGTACTCTCCAGGGACCTCTGGGGAAACACAGGGGCTCCGTACCCCCCCCACCCCGGCCTGGGGAATCGAGGTTCTGGTTCCACCCACTGGAAGTATTGACGAACAAGCATGAATTCCTGGCTTCTCTCAGAAGACACATCTCCTGGCATCTTCTAACCTGCTGGGGTTGTTGTTCTTATTAACTCTGGAGAGTTCTAGATCTCACAGAGAAGGAGCTTCAGTCTCAGAGACCAATTCCTTGGGATCAGACACTCACTCGTTGAACTAACACTTATGGAAAGCATGTTGAAGGCAGAGAGCGAGGAATAGGAGAGAGCTGCATGGTGACACAATACATTGTGAGCACAGGAGAGTCTCTGAGCAACAAGGGACGCTTTGTCTCTCTTGCTTTCATCAGCAAGTAACAGGAGTTGAAACCACCTCTTTTCATGCCTGGAACCCTGGCAGGGCTAGAGGTCACCCCAGGAAATAGCTTGTGCATAGAACTTTCCTGTAATAACTATGCCATCTTGGCTCAGTTAACTAATCTGCAATTATTTGCTGAATAAAGTATTAACCATCAGCACATTGCTGGTTGTTCAGGATGAAGGGAGTGAAAAGAAAGGAACAAGGGTTTTGCCCTCCAAGAGATTACAGTGCAGCCGGGAAGAGGAGAGAAGCACAGGGGGGAAACAGGGAACTCACAGATTATGGCATCCAGAGCCGCTTTTCAACTCGGTGGCTGAATTGGCTTTTACTCACTCCTCTCCAGACAGGTAGAGGCACATTCCCCTTTGAGCTCTCATCTTTCCAGAAAGTCAGGAAAGAAGGCAGAGATCTTTCCAAAAAGAAAGCCGAGGCACGGATCGGCATTCCCACAAATCAGGGACCACCCAGGGAACAAAACTCAAGGAGGGTTAGTTAGAAGCCAGTCCCTCACCAGAAGACAACATTTCCAGCTCCTCATCGTGGGGCTCTTTCTCTGCCCCCAACCCTGCTTCCCATAGGTGCGATTGCCAGCTAAGCAATGGAGAGAGGAGAGTCAAGAATGCAAAGGGCTCTGTCCGGGCAGTGGGATATGGGAGCTCAGGATACCAGCCGAGCCTTTGAAATGACTGTGTGCCCTCTAAGTGACCAGAGCTCAGAGGAGGAGTGGGGACTCAGGTTCCACATCCAAACTTAAATCCACATCCAACCTTTCCCAACAGCCACCCACTCCTTCCCAGCACTCATAATAACTTGTCTGGGAAAAGAACTGATGCTCACAAGTTGGAAAAGCAGGGTAGGAGTTGGAGAGGCAGGAAGGCGCTAGGCTGCAAAGACAGAAGGGGAGAGAAGTTGGCTTGGTCACACAAAGACATGGAGACAGCATGGGAGGCAGAGCAGACAATGAGCCTGTAGGTGAGCTACCTGTGTGGAGGCAATGAGGTGGGTGCTTCAGTGGAAGGGTCTCAGTCTCCTGTGCTGGGCTCCTGAGACCCCTGCAGGTTCCAGGGGTGATGGTGGTCTGGTCCTAGTAACAGCCTCCACTCTGCTCCTGCTTCAGTCCTGCCAGGGGGTCCAGAGCTACAGAGAGCCCGTGCTCAGGAACAGAGGGCGGCCTTCTGGGAGCAGCCAGTGATGTCACAGGCCATGAGCAGAGGAGAGAGGAGGAGGGAGGTGTGCATGGGGCTGACAGACACCGGCCCCGAGGCAGAGCAAACCACAGCCACTGACCCATTCTGTCCTTCCATGGGAAGTCCTCAGAGCCCATCTTGTGTCTACCTGCCACCATAAAGCAGGGACAGAGCCATCTTCCATGCAGGCCCCCCTGGACCCAGAGTGCACCCACTCAGGGGCCAGTACTCCTGAAGGGAATGGAGAATATGGAGATGGGGGAATTTCAGACTATATCCTCAAGGCTTGGAATGCACAGAAGCCCAAAGGTGACTTCCAGAACCACAGACAGCTTCCCAGCCAGAATGCACACGCCAGGGGTCTGGGATCAACTCCGGGGTCTTGTGTGTATTACTAGCAAAGATAAATGGGTATATAGACTGATACCGAATACTGGCCAAGTTGACCTCTAACTCTCTGAGAGAACGATGGTACATGTAGAAAAGCACGTGTCACACGGCACCAGCTCTCTCCAGAGAGCATCTTCACCAATGCTCCAATTGGCTCCTTGACTGAGGTGACACCAAGGGTGAATTTTTGCCTAGAAATAGGGGGACCCTCGACTAGAACCCTGGCAACAGTGGTGATGGTAATGAGCCTCTAAGGGTAGTTAGGATGCAAGTGGGGTGTTTATGAGGAGGAATGAAGCTTGGTTTTTATTCTCTCCATCTCTAGATGTCAGCAGGCTCCATTCTACTAGGGATTTGGTGCTATTAAACTCTATGTTATAAATGACACTCCTGTTTCCACAGAGGACACCAAAGGTTATCTGGATCATTGTTGGGGTGGGGGAAACCAGTAGTTGGCTAGGTGGTTCTTCTGGAGTGGGATGCTGCAGGTGAAAGAAACACAGCCCTAGCAATGGAAGCTTCATGGCCACCATAGTTTTGGGCAGATCCTTCATGAAGAAATCAACATGGGAAGTCCTTTGGGTCCATTCCATACCTTGGATTCTGTGAAACCCTCTCAGAAGTCAGGCTGAAAGTAAGTAGGGTGTAGGGCAATAAGAGTAGCCCCAGAGGGTGGAAGAATGGATTTCGCTGGCCAGTGCTCTGGTTTTGGGGAGGAATGGGGGGGGTTGTTGTACATTCAGCTTGATCCTAGGATTGAGAACACTTGTTCTCAAAACAGGGCCAAATGTGTCACAGAAATGGATTTTCTGTCTTACCTCCATTTGTACTCCCCTCCTCTTCAGCCTCCTTCAGCACCCTCAGGCTGGCCTAGAGCCCCTGGCCATGGGGGGAGACTGTAGCACGTGACTTTTGCATCGTGGGTAGGACAGCACATACTCTAGTGCCCATAGAGCCCATTCAATCTCTGGGCAGCTGGGTCGGCTGCTCACTCTACTCAGCCATGCCTGGGTGAGAGAGGGTCCCATGGAAGTCCTGCCCTTAGTCCTCCTTTTCTGCCTCATCCCTTCCCCCCACATCTGCCCCTGATCTGGGGGCACAAGTCTCCAGGTCCTGACCCGCTATTCTCACAGACAGCTGCATGAGGGTGGAGATAGGGGTATCAGGGGGAGAAGGGACAAGCCCTGGCAGATGGTGGTGGCAGCGATTTCCCCCATAAACTACCCTCCCCCCCCCACCTTTACAACATGCTCTTGGGTCTGAACAAACAGAGTCTTTCGACCCAGAGATGATGAGGGGAGGGAAAAGAGAGGAAGGGCCCTGGCAGGGGGGCCTAGCCTGCCCAAAGGCTCAGCCACTCAGCCCTCTGCCCAGCGCACCAGACTGTTTGAGGAGCAAATATCTGCCCTCACCGTCTGACTCTCTCAACCTCCCCCACCAGGTTTGGGGCTAATTGTCCCTCATTAGCTAGGACCAGGCTGCTACCAGCCCCCGCCATCTGCTCGAAATTATACATTAACTCAGAGGTCTTGCCACCCGCCAGCCAGGCTGTGCGCCCCTCTCCAGGCCACCCGTGGCCATTCCAGCCTGTCCCTCACCCTGATGCAGAGCCCCAACTGCTGGCTTCTTCTGCCCTCAGGACCTCTGAGTATAAAGCCCAGTGGCTGTGGGAAAAGATCTGTCCTCAGGAGAGGTGGTAGGAAGTCCCCTGCCCTCCTCGAGGGGCCAGAAGACAAGACAGGCTCGTGCGTAAAGCTGGAGAGGGCAGGGCGCAGCCAGTGCGGAGTCCGGGGCGGGCGGGCGGCTTTGGTCTGACGCCTCACCGGGGGTTTCTGGCACTCACGGGGGGAGGTGACACCAATTCCAGGCTGTTTCCACCCCTCTCTGTGGCATCTGTTAGTAGGCTGTGGGGTTCTGTCTCGCATCTTCCCTCTCTCCAGCAAGCACCATCTCATACCAACCCTCAGCTTTCCAGAGCGCACTGTTAACCGCCACCTCTCCAAAATCCCTCTCTGGCAGCGCTTGCCTCCTGGTTTAAGGTCACTAGTTTCCTTGCTACAAAAACATGGGGAATCTTCAAGTGCTCTGGATATTCCTAGGCTTGACATTGAATTTGCAACCCCTCCTCACTGTCAAAACTCGATGTAGTCATCCTGCTCTCCCCACCCAGACCCTGCTCTTTTTCGCTCAGTTTCTAGAACGCTGACTATCTGGCTCCCTCCCTCCCAATGCGCCTGGGAGGCAGTGAAGGGCCCGTCCTCCCAACTGTGGCTTTGAACTGGGGCACAGAAAATGCCCCCCTTGCCCAACCTCCTTTTTACCATGAGCCCCTAGCTTCTGAGCTCAACCCTTCCCCATGTTTCTCTCAGGACTGGGCTTCGCTGGGTAGGGTGGGGAATCTGCACTCCCCTGGAGAGAGCCGGAGAGTTCAAACGTTAGAACCAAGTGCCCAGGGAGGCCAGGCAAGGAAACCCACGGGGACCTGAAGGGCAGGCGACGAAGAGCCCAGCCCAGAGCCACCGGGACCAGCACTGCGCGCGCCTCAGACCCCAGCCGACCGGGGCGGTCAGACAATGCTCTGCGCGCAGCCTGTGGAGTGCGAGCTCGGGTCCGCATGCGCACCAGCCCTGCCGGTGAGGAAGGGCACCAGCCCTGGGGAAGGCGTTGCGCTCGGGCTGGGCCTTCACACCCACCCAGTAACCTGAAATCCAGTCTGTTCCCAGGAGACCGGCAGCTCCATGCTCCCCAAAGCTTCCCCCCCCCCCCCCCCCCCCCCCCCCCAGGTTGCAAGGGGTAGGGGATCTGGGAAGGCAGAATAGCAGTCCAGGGTTTTAAGTACACTTGATAACCTTTATGTTTTTAGAGCAGTCCTAGATTTATAGAGAGCTTTCAAAGATAATACAGAGAGTCCTCATATACCTCACACCCAGGTTCCCTGATTATTAATATCTTACATTAATATTGTATATTTGTGGTAATTAATAAACCAACACTGATATGTTATTATTAGCTGAAACCTATTCTGTATTCAGATTTCCTCAGGTTTTCCCCTTTCCGGGAGCCATCCAGGACCCCACTTTACATTTACCTGCCATGTATCCTTGGGCTTCTCTTGGCTGTGACAATTTCTGTTTCTTTTCTTGTTTTTGGTAACTTTGAAAATTTTGTAGAACTTCCTTCCATTGGGATTTGTCTGATTTTTTTTTTTTTTTTTTTTTTTTTGAGAGAGAGAGAGGGTGTGCACATGGGTGTGTGCAAGTTGGGGAGAGGGGGAGAGAGGCAGAAAGGCAGAGGGAGAGAGAGCGCGCATGCGCGCACTCGAAATTCCCAAGCAGCCTCTTTGTTCAGTACAGAGCCTGTTGCGGGCTCTACCCCAGGACTCTGGGATCATGACCTGAGCTGAACTGGACTACCTAGGAGTCCCTAATGTTTTCCTAATGGTTACACTGGGCTTATGAGTTTTGAGGAAGACCAAAAAAGGTAAGTGCCATTCTCATCACATTATGGTAAGGGTACATGTTGTCAGGGGCTCCCGGGTGGCTCAGTCGGTTAAGCTTCCGACTTTGGCTCAGGTCATGATCTTGCAGTTTGTGGGTTCAAGCCCCGCGTCGGGCTCTGTACTAACAGCTCAGAGCCTGGAGCCTGCTTCAGATTCTGTGTCTTCCTCTCTCTGCCCCTCCCCCTCCTCCCCCTCCCCTGCTTGTGCTCTGTCTCTCCCCCCTCTCAAAAATAAATTTTTTAAATTTTTTAAAAAAGGGTACATGCTGTCAAATGACAGCTCTCTGTTGATGTTGACCTTGATCACCTGGCTGAGGTAGCGTTTGTCAGGTGTCTCCACTGAAGTTACTCATGTGTCTCCTTTCCGTACAGTGCTTTTCTGAAGAAAGTCCTCACACTTGAGGGGGGAGTTATGTTTTCAGCTCAAGGGTGGAGTATCTACATAAATCGTTGGGATTTCTGCTGCCCAGGAGATTTCTCTCTTCCCTCCCATTTATTTATTCAATAATTTCTTTATATCAATATGGATTTGTGGATAATTATTTTTTTCTTTGCATTATAATCCAGCGTACTACTTTATTTTGTTGCTCAAATTGTTCCAACTTTGGCCATTAGGAGCTCTTTCAGTTTGACCCCTGTATCCCTTTGGCATAGCCCCATTATTGTGGAGTTTGGTTTTTATCTCGAGCCTCTGTGTGTTTCCTTACTTTTTGGTGCTGGAAGAGGATCCAGGCTTATCTTGTATATTTCCTGCCCCAGGGCTAGACTCAGCCATTTCTCCAGGAATCCTGGCACCTTTTGTTGAAGAATGGCATGAGAAATAAAGATCTGGTACTGGATAACGTTTGCTGCTATTGGGGTGTCAGTGTTTCGAGGTTCTCTCAGGTGACTGAGCAGAGAAATAGATGTGCGTGGACTAACCAGTGTCTATAGACATGTCTATAAATAGTTCTATATGTAACCATTTGAATCTATATTAAACTACACGCGTTTAACTAAATGTGATGTCTCTAGCTCTGATCCATTATTACATGGATCCTCCCCTCCTAGTTTCTGTGAACTCTTGCATAATATTGATGTACAACTTACTTTCTGTTCATGTTACAGACTCCACTCATTTCCAAAGATACTTAAATCAGCACCTTTTCCCCCACTCCCTTCATTGAAGCTGTTCCACACATTTGCAATACAGTTAGATTATTTTGTCACATTCTGGATTTCGTCTTAGGAGCCCCTGACTTCTACATCATTTTTTAAAAGTTTGCATACATTAAGGTTCACTCTTTGTGCTAGAAAGTCCTATAGTATGTGATAAATGCATACTGTTATGTATCCACAAGTACAGTTATTGTACAGAGTAGTTTCACCACCCTGAGAAATCCTCAATGCTCCACCTATTCGACCCTCCTCCCTGCCCCCAAGCCCCTGGCAACCACTGATCTTTTTACTATCACTATAGTTTTGCCTTTTCTAGAATGCCGTGTAAGGGAGCCATGCAGTATATAGCCTTTTCAGACTGGCTTCTTTAACTTAGCAATATGCATTTAAGTTTCCACCATGTCTTTTCACCGCTTGATAGCTTATTTTTTAGTGCTGAATAATGTTCCACTGTCTATATATACCACAGTTTCTCTATCCATTCACCTATTGAAGGATATCTTGGTTGCTTTCAAGATTTGGCAATTATGACTGGAGCTGCTACAAACATCTATGTGCAGGGTTTTGTGTGGACGTAAACTTTTAGCTCCTTTTGGTAAATAACAAGGAGCACAATTGCCTGACCATATAGTAAGAGTAGTTTTGTAAGTAACTGCCAAACTGCCTTCCGAAGTGGCTGTACCATTTTGCATCCCGCCAACAATGACCGAGTTTTTGTTGCTCTGTGTCTTTTCTAATGTTTGGTGTTGTCAGTGGTCCAGAGTTTGGCAATTCTGTGTCGTGGTATCTCATTATTGTTTTAATTTGCATTTCCCTGATGACCTGTGATGTGCATTATCTTGTCATATGCTTATTTGCCGTCTGTGTATATTTTTTGGTGGGGGGGGGTCTGTTAAGGTCTTTGGCCCATTTTTTCATCAGATTGTCTCTTATTGTTGAGTTTTAAGTGTTCTTTGGATATTTTGGATAATGGTCCTTTATCAGATGTGTCTTTGGCAAATATTTTCTAACAGTTTGTGGCTTATCTTCTAATTTTTTGACATTGTCAAAATTTACGATGTTGTTGACAATAAAATTGAAAATTTTATTTTCAATTGTAATAAAATCCAGTTTATCAATTATTTCTTTTGTGGATCGTATTTTAGATGTTGTATCTAAAAAGATATCACCATACTTATAGACTTCATTTTTTTTTAGAGCAGTTTTAAGTTCACAGCAAAATTAAGAGGAAGGCACAGGAATTTCCTGCAGACCCCCTACCCTCCACAAGGCATAGCCTCCCCTATTTTCAGTATCCCCCATTTGTTACAACTGATGAACCTAAGCTGTAGATTGTGTGGACATTCTTTATCAGGTTGAAGTAGTTTCTCTGTAATCCTAGTTTCCTGAGAGTTTTTATCATGAATGGATTTTGTTAAATGCTTTTTCTATGTCAGTTGGTACAACTTTTTTTATTCTTTAGCCTACTGATGTGGTGGATCATATTGATTAATCTTTAACATGTTGAACCAGCTTTGCATACCTGGAATAAATCCACTTGGTCACAGTGTACAATTCTTTTTATACATTATTGGGTTCAGTTTGCTGATATTTTGTTGAGGATATGTTAATAAGACATATTGGTCTTCAGTTTTCCTTTCTTTTATGTCTTTATCTCCTTGGGTATTAGGGTAATTAATGTTGGTCTCATACATTGAGTTAGGAGGTGTTCCCTCAGATAGCCAACTTTGAGAATGAAGGTATAGCCTGTCAAGCGGATGTAACTCAGGCTGAAAGAGACACACAAAGCTCGTCTCCTGTAAGTGCATCCAGGGCAGTTCGACTCAGTAATTAACAGTGGGA